TCAGAACAATAAATCAATTGATCTGGTGCTCGACCCGCCTTCTTCCTCATCCTTCCAAGTACCTGGATCGCGAACCTTCTCATTGAGTACTTCGCCGTGCAAATCGAAATCTCACAAGATTGTGCCTCTTCCTGGGTCCTTTGAAGTATTGATGAATCCTCTACTGCCAACAACACCCCATTTATTATTTTGCCGGAACCGCCTCACACAGCTATGCATGGCTTTTAGTCCTTTTGTTGGACGCGTCATGCATTAAATCTAGCCGTTCGACTTGGCGTGTCTCTTTTGGAAGCTTTGGCGGAGTAATCTAGTGTCTAAGATATTGGAGCCATTGCCATCCTGTTCAGCGTCTGCAAAACATGGTCTTGTACTAATGGTTAACAGGAGAAACTGGTTTCCCAAGAAAATGTTATTGCCTTGAAATTTCAAGTTAAGTTGTGTTACATCTCCGATGTGAAACATTATCGGCAAGCAGGTCACCTATTGCCAGTTCAGTAGAGGGCAGCCGTTTCAGATGATCAGGTTTCGCAGTCGAGCATTTCGAAGGATCGTTTTATTTGCGAAATAATTTCCGAAATTCCGACTAAAGGTGAGCGACTGCCTAGATTATTTATAACCGAGACGCGCGGCCCGGTTATGTGTGTTGTGCGGGAACAGAACTTCACCTGAACGGCGATCGTCGAAGGCCAGAAAATGAGTACAGATTTCACAGAAGCCGCGGAATAATCGACAAGATCTTCAAAATCTGCCCAATACTGGAGAACATCATGATATTAGGGCTAACCCGCACTCCATCTTTGTCGATTGCCGAAGGCCCTCGATGCAGTCAACCACGATATGTTTTGAAAAATAATTTTTAAAGCTTGGTTTCCAAAGCAATTCGTACAAGTAATGCTCCAAATGTACGAAGGGATGAGTTTCCGTTGCGGCATTGGCTCAATCTCTGAAACATTCACGATGGGCAATGTTTTGATCAATAGGTTACGTATCAGACTCCGCCCTATTCAGTTTCATGTTTACCACCGTGCTGGGTAAGCCTGTCACTAGGAACCTTCGGGGATTTACATAAACTTGTTCGACATTTAGCACCATAAAGCGTCCTAAAGGCTATTCAATTACTTAATTACTTCTACCTGATTCAATTAGCTCCTGTTTTTGGATTAAGCGGCTTCACGGATGTCACGGCTAGCGATGGCCCATTGGCGGCGATTGGAAGCGAGCTCCCCGCAAATGTCAACCGGTGTTCACCATCAGTTGTCCGCAGATGACTGGGCACTAATACTATAGAGAAAGTTGGCACACAGCGAAGTATGGACCCCTTTTCTTCCACTCGCTCTGTATTTCGTCCGACCACCAATTTGGGAAGATGGTGATGACATCCAACGGGTGGCCAACTTGAAGTACAGTGAATTCCATATCAACTTCAATGACAGT